ATCCAAAAAGAAGTCTGCCCTAAATTGGCTTCCCAATGAGACAAAGAACATTAGAAAAGAAAGTTTACAGCTGGCAAAGGCTGGACTCACGTGAGAATAAATTATATGATTTTTACCTTCAAGGATCTTGATTATATTTGAGCCATGACAAAATTGATCTCGATTTCTCATTTGGAACGCATACTTAAACTAGTCTAAATTCCTTAAGCTTGATTGATTACATATTAGATTACAAGTTTGTCAAAGAAAGCTAAAAACATTAGAAGAACAAAAACTAACAATCCGAATGTAGCAATTGAGGAAATAAAATATAGCTCCCAAAAGACATCAAAAAACTGTAAAACAATTGTATGATCGGTGCTACTTCCACAATTACATAGTAGATAGAATGTACTTAATGATTTCTGATAGATGCAGTAAACAAATAGTCTCCAGGCACATTAAAATCACGATATGCTTTGTAAGTGCCTGCTTGACCAGCCAGGAAAATTCATTCATGTTATATAAAACTTTTGATAAGTTCTGATTTGCTCTAATTTACAATTTACAAACTTTAGATAAGGCCGTTTCCTCATTTAAAAAATAATTAAAATTATCAGATATTCCACCTCAATTTTTTCGTTTAAAGGTTTCTTAGATGAAGAAACAAAGAAAGGACAAGTCATATTGATATGGGTAATCTGGTGAATTGCCCCATGAACTTGTACATAACTCTCAATTTACCACCTCGCCTTTTTTTTAGCGAATTAAGGGCTCGAATTAAAATTTATTATCAATGTTCCCCCCACCGTCAAAATTCGAACATTTCATCCATTATTCCGTCTATTTGACTCACGTTGACTCTTTTTTTAGGGTTATTTTTGTCATTTGGAACGGATTGAATTACCAACCTCTCTCACACACTTCGCACATCGCTTTCACTTTGGGGGGGTTGGAAAGGGACTGAATTGAGGGCGCGAAAGGGGACGAAATCGAAGGTTGGAGAGGGACGAAATCGAGGGAATCTGAAAGCTTTTTCATAAAGCTTCTTTTGGGTCTGTTGATTTAACGCAACATGACTCTGGATGTGTTGCCTCTGCAAGTGCGGAACAGAGGGCCTCCTCCCAAACACAGTAAGTAAATGCTTTTCCCAAGTTGAAATTGTTTAAGCTTGTGTGGTCCTTTGGTCCTTGATTTGTCGATGCTTTTGACATTTTGTGGTGTTGTGTGATATGCCTTTTTGAATATGAAATACTTGTGGTCCCAAAGCATTTGTGTTGTTTTGTCTGCATAATAGTCGGTGGATTTGAGTCAATTTCAAGTTTAGAATGGTAGTTGAGCAATAAGGATAAGTTGGTGTGATAAAATAGTGCTTTTATATATCGTTTTCTGTTTTTTTAGGTGATCCAGATTTGTTCTCCCTAGAAATTCACCATGGAGGTTATATGTCAAAGGGGAAGTATGTTCGGGGTAAGGTAACATGGGCAAACAACTGTAATGCTGACCACCTGTCAATGCTTGACTTGTATGATGTTGCTATATGTTTAGGATACGACCATAAAAAAATTCAGTACCACTACTGGAACAAAAGAAGGGGATTTGTTCCAATTGAAGTAGATGCCCATGTAGTTGAGTTTGTGGAGCATACACCTACCCCTAGAGTTCAACCTTTATATCTGTCATATAAGCATCAACCACATTTCTCAGAGAAACAAGCATCTGCATATGCTCCACAGTTGGGGTTGGAAGTAGAAGTTGAAACTGAAACTGATGTTGGTGATTTGGGGAACCAGTTTGTAGAAGTGGATGTTGATTTAGATGATGAGGCAGATAACGAAGGAGATATGAGGCAGATGAATTTGAAGATGATGTGGCTGAAGATGATGATAGTGGAGAAGAGGTTGAAGATAATGATAGTGAGACAGACATTGAGTTGATTGACTCTGAGTTTGAGCAGTCAGATGAAGAAGGGTTAAAGACAATCTTAGAAGAGGATGACAACTTGTTTGATAAACATGTAGTTGATGAAGAAAATGAAGAATACAATGAATAACATGGTGAGGTTGACAGTGAAGACTACAATACCGACGAACTTGTAAGTCTTGATGAAGAAGATGATGAGGATGAAGGTGTGAAAAACCGTAGCCGCAGAAGAAAAGCTCCTAGGTTTAAGCAGTTTAGGAGAGAATCTGATTTGCTGAAGCCAACATTTCATTTGGGAATGGAATTTACCAACATGGAGCAGTGTAGGGAAGCAATAAGGTATTATGCAGTTTCATGTGCAAGGCCATTGAAGTGGGTGAGGAATGATTCATATAGGGCGAGGCTAAAATGTGAAGGAGCTAATAAACAAAAGGTTCCATGTCCATGGATGCTATATGCTTCTCATGTGGGGAAAGGTCCAACTACAAGGATTAAGACATATATTCCAAGGCATACATGTGGAAGGAGGCAAAGAACCAAGTATGCCACTTCATCATGGCTGTCTAAGAGGTTTGATGAGGAGTTAAGAGATAATCCCAAGATGAAAGTGACAGATTTCATGAAGATAATAAGGAAACATTATGCCATAGATGTAACTGAGGCTCAAGTTTATAAAGCCAAGAGTTTTGCAAAAGCTAGAATTCAAGGTAGTATTGAAGAACAATATGGAAAGTTGTGGGATTATTGTGAGGAGTTAAAGAGCAATAACCCTGGAAGTACTGTCATTGTGAAAACTGATTTGCAGGGTGAGAATCCTACTTTTAAGAGTATTTATATATGTTTTGGAGCACTTAAAAAGGGATTTGTGGAAGGATGTAGACCAGTGGTGGGTTTTGATGGGTGCCATGTTAAGGGTTCTCACCCAGGGCAGATTCTAAGTGCAGTTAGGGTTGATGGAAATAATGGGATGTATCCAATTGCTTTTGCTGTTGTTGAAGTTGAAAACATAGAGACTTGGAGTTGGTTCTTTGAATATTCTTTCAAGATGTAGGTATTCAAAATGGCAATTGCTGGGTTTTCATTACTGATAAGCAAAAGGGTTTAGGGAATGCCCTTCATGCTTTGATGCCCAATGCTGAGCACAAGCATTATGTGAGGCACTTGCACAATAATTTCAAGCTTGCAGGCCATACTGGTAATGCTTTGAAGCAGAGGTTGTGGGCAGCAGCTAGGGCAACAACAATACCTGTATTTGAAGCTAAAATGGAGCAGATGTTGGGTCAACCTGAGGCAGCTTATAAGTGGCTTGAGGAGAGACCAGCTGCTCATTGGAGTAGATCACACTTTAGTACAGTCCCAAAGTGTGATATACTTCTAAACAACTTGTGTGAGTGTTTTAATGTTGCAATCCTAGAAGCAAGGGATAAGCCCATTGTTACTCTTTTGGAGAGAATTAGAACATACTTGATGCTTAGAATGGCTAGACTTAGAGAGATAGTGTGGCCCCATGAGGTTGGTCCAAGAATATTTGCTATTGTGGAAAAGAATTTAATTGAAAGTGGCCACTGCATAGCTTCGTATGCTGGTGGGGGGAAGTATCAGGTTAATAGTATGTTGGGAGCTATGTTTGTTGTGGATTTAGAAAGGCATACATGCACCTGCAGAAAATGGGACTTAAGTGGAATCCCATGTCCACATGCCTTGGCTACAATAGCAATGAGTGAGCACAGACCTCTGGATTTTGTGCATGCACTTTACAAAAGGTCGGCATATGATAGGGCTTATGAGGGCTATATATCTCAAATGCCTAGTCAATCATATTGGAGAAAAACAGGGCATGTACCTATCAAGCCACCTCTTTATCACATCCAACCAGGAAGGCCCAAACTTAGCAGAAATAAAGAACCTGATGAAATACCAAGAGGGGCAACAAAACTTAAGAGGTATGGCATTGTAATGACATGCCGCAACTGTGGACAAGAAGGTCACAATTTTGCAGGTTGTTCCCAAAATGGACAGGTTAGATTTGTTTTTAATTTTTTTGTTTCCACATTTCATTTGTTGGAAATGGCTATGTTAACATGTGAATTGGAGTGTTTTTGCTATGTTCACATGTCATTGGAGTGTTTTTGCTATGTTCACATGTTATTTGTTGTTATTGGCAATGAAGGGGCAACCTAGAGGTGCTAGAGCAAGAGTCGGCAAGAGGGGAAGAGGAGCTGCAACTGGAGGTGTTGATACTGCTAGTGCTAATGCAAGTGGAACAACAACTGCAAGTGGAACAGTTGGTGTTAGGGGAAGAGGTGTTGTGAGAGGCAAAGGTGTTGTGAGTGAACAACAACAAACTCAGGCCAGACCAAAGTTTAATGTAAGTACTTGGATTAAACCTTGATGTTTTGAATCAATAATTGCATTATTGTGGTGTGTTTTGAAGGCTTAAGTGTCGTATGCTTGAAACAGGTGAAAAGAGGAGCCCATGCCCCCCATGTCATAAGGAAGACCAATCTATTTGCTGGTTGGCAACCTGCCCAAGGTTCAAGTTCCCAAGCTCCTTCACAACCTACCCAAAGTTCACAAGCTCCTTCACAACCTGCCCAAAGTTTACAAGCTCAACAAGGTTCAAGTTCACAACCTCAACCAATGGTAACTTCTCCAAAAAGGCCTAGGTTAAAATCTCCAGCAAAATGAATAAGGCCATGGAGAGTTTAGTGAGATATTTGAAGTGAATGGTTGAAGAATTGGGATGTTTATTTTGGTTTTGTGGATCATTTTGGTTTGCAATCTATTTGCTGGTATATTTTGAACTGATTTTGTACAAGCTAACTTGTAATTGTTAGTGATGAAGATGTATTTTTGAAACTGAATTTGGACAAGCTTTGATGGCAAAGCTATATGTTGTGGATGTGTATGTGTATGTGTATGTGTATGTTTAAGGGATTTTGGACAAGACTGTTTAGGGGATGTGTTTGTGTATTTTCAAGTGCTATTAATGTAATGACATGTGAATTCAAATGTTGTATATTTTGGCATACTTTGTAGTGCAGTTCATATCTTTGGTGTGACAATTACTATTTCAATTGTCAAAATGAGAGCTTGCATTTTCATTCAACAAAACAACTCATACATTGATTTCATTGGTCACAACACTCAAAATGAAGCCAATTACACACCCTTTCTGACCTTTACAACAAGCCAATCACCCATCCCTTTCTAACTATTACAAAATGTCAATTACCCATCCCTTTCTAACCATTACAAAATGCCAATTACCCATCCCTTTCTAACCCTTACAAAATGGCAACCACCCATCCCTTTCTAACCCTTACAAAATGCCAACTACCCATCCCTTTTTACAGCTGCCCATTGATGCCTTTATCTTCATTCAAAATCAAGCATATAATAACCCCAAACATGCACAACGACACCCAAAACCATGGGTTTTTCAGCTTCGAATTCCCTTTCTTTTTTTTTTGCTTCCAACTTGTTAATTCTCCTCAGCAGTCCTGGAATTATTTGCTTAGATCTATTGCACATAACAAGGTCACCCCACTCCCACATTTGATAACGATTCTGCAAAGACAGTTTTAAAACTTGGCAACTCAAAACTGCAAATTAGAAACCCAAACTTCAAAATTCAACTTACCCGTGCACAAACATAAAATCTTCGTCCTGGATGTGAAGAGGTCCAAGAAGTCTGAATTTTTGCAACCTTCCCACAGTAGTAGACTCGTGATGGCAACATCCATGAATTGCCGTCTTCGAACTCCGAACTCCCTCTGTGTGACCCATCAACGCTGCCGGGTAAGTTCGTCCTCATCTCTCTCTCTCTCTCTCTCTCTCTATAGATAGATAGATAACTGGAAATCGCCAGAAACATAAACAAATGGAGGTGGAGCGCGATGTATGTGGGAAGTGTGTGAAGGTTTGACTGGGTAAGGGTTCAATTCTCTGAATGACGAAAATAACCCTTAAAAAGAGTCAAAGTGAGTCAAATGGACGGAATAATGGATGAAATGTTCGAATTTTGACGGTGGGGGGAACATTGATAATAAATTTTAATTCGAGCCCTTAATTCGCTAAAAAAAAAGGTCATGTGGTAAATTGAGAGTTATGTACAAATTCAGGGGGCAATTCAGCAGATTACCCTATTGATATTGATAGAACAGAATTGGAATATTAATTTAATGTCGCTGTAAAGACTCAGTCATCAGCGACTGTTCATCTTTTTTGGACTGAAGCCTATTTTTCTTCGACCTGGGACCTGGACCTGAAGCTAAGCTTTGTTACTGTTTCTATCTGAAAGAGAATGGTGGAAATCAGCATTTTGCTCAATGTGGTTTTGAACTTGTCATGCAATATCAATATGAGTGTTGGAAGGCATGAACTGGCAGATTCGGCTTAGACAGATACAGGGATAAGAATAAGTCATCTTCCAATGCTCCAATCCAACGACCCCAAGCGGACAGTAGCCCTTTTTTCTGTAACTTCAGAAATCTAAATTCCAAGAGAAAATGCGCATTCAACAACTCAAAGCAGATTTTAAAGATCAAAGTAGATTTTAAAAACCAATTGTCAAAATCTCACAATGCAAAATGCAGACCTCTCATAAGAAGAAAATGCAGAGGAAGAAGCTGTCAAATTTTCTCTCAACGTTGTAGCCTCCCTTTTTACCCAAAAAGAAGTCTGCCTTGAATTTCCCCAGCTGGCAGCCAAACATTGGCTTCACAATGAGACAAAGAACATTAGAATAGAAAGTTTACAGCTAGCAAAGGCTGGACTCACGTGAGAATAAAATGTATGATTTTTACCTTCAAGGATGTTGATTATATTTGAGCCATGACAAAATTGATCTCGGATTTCTGTAATGGTTTTGAATGCATACTTAAACTAATCTAAATTCCTTAATCTTGATTAATTACATAAGAGATTACCAGTTTGTCAAAGAAAGCTAAAAACATTAGAAGAACAAAAACTAACAATCCGAATATAGCAATTGAGGAAATAAAATATAACTCCCAAAAAACATCATAAAAATTGTAAAACAGTTGTATGATCCGTGCTACTTCCACAATTACATAGTAGATAGACTGTACTTAACAATTTCTGATAGATGCAGTAAACAAGTAGTCTCCAGGCACATTAAAATCACGATATGCTTTGTAAGTGCCTGCTTGACCAACCAGGAAAATTAATTCATGTTATATAACAGTTTTGATAAGTTCTGATTTGCTCTAATTTACAATTTACAAACTTCAGATAAGTCCGTTTCCTCATTTAAAATATAATTAAAATTATCAGATATTCCACCTCAATTTTTTTCGTTTAAAGGTTTCTTAGACGAAGAAACAAAGAAAGGAGAAGTCATCCAATATTGATATTGATAGAACAGAATTGGAATATTAATTATTAATTTAATGTCGCTGTAAAGACTCAGTCAGCAGCAACTTTTCATCTTTTTTGGACTGAAGCTTATTTTTCTTCGACCTGGGACCTGAAGCTAACCCTTTAATTCCTATCCCTGTCATTATTTAAAATGGGAAACATTAATTGTTTGGTCGGTTGGGTGAGTCACATAGTCACATGGCTGGCTCCTTACACACGTGGCTCTTTTTTCTTTATTTTTCCTTTGACATATATGAATTAAATTAAGAACATACAGCTTCAATGAATTGACTGGTTGATTGGGAAGTTGGAGTGTCCATTCAAAAGATGTAAATAATGGATAACTGAGAAAGGGAATGCTGTGAAACTTTTCTGTATAGATTATCCATGCAAGTTGAAGTTTTCCTTTATCGGAAATATATATATTCCGTTGGATGAGTTATTTTGTACATGCACTGCATTATTTGATATAAAGAGTTTTGAACTTTATTTTTCTAATTAAATTGTCATTGACGACATTGAATAATAATCACTAATTTAATTTTTAAACTCAAGATCTTTTCAAAATGATCACTAATTAAATAATAATCAATCTTAATTTTACGTGCAAAAATATTTACAAACAAAAGATGTAAATAATGGAAAACTGGGAAAGGGGATGTCGTAGAACTTTTATGTGTTGATTATTATTCGGGTGATTACGTGTTTTAGTCAAAACAGCTTTATGTGTTTGTATGCAGTGTCTAATCTCCTTATTAAAAAAAAAAAAAAAAAAAAAAAAAAAAAAAAAGAAGAAGAAGGAGATCAGACTATAAAGTGAGTGGTGGAGAATAATTATTATTTTAAAAGTATTTGACTTCAGTTTCAGTCCTTGAAGGTCTACTCGATTCTGTGTCTATAAAAGGCTGCTGTAATTAAGCACCAATACTCTCCTCACAAATCCATCTTTCATACACACACAATCGTACGGTACCTCTTCATTCAAAAGCTCTCATTTTGGGCACTGTTTTCCTCTTCAATTGTGGAAAGGTGTCCAATAGAAAATTAATTGATGAATATGTCCTTCTTCCCTCGACTTTTTCTTCATTATCTCTTGGTGGTTTGCTTTGCCAATTTTGCTTTTGGAGCTACTCGGTTGCCACGAGATGAAGGTATACGTATATATATAATCTTAATATCTATGTCAAATTTCTTCCTTAATCCCCTTTGTTCATCTTATAATTATGTACAACGTAGGTAGAAGCTTTCAATAATAAGATGTTTGGATTCATGACTTTGTAGTTCTTGTATTTAGAGATTAATTTTTCTACATATATTCTAATATATATATGGTACTAATTGTATGAATTTGTAGATATTGAGTATCGAGCAAGGTGTTAAATTGTTGCATTTTGTTTTATATATATGTAGTACAAACTTTAGCTGACATAGCAAAGACATTGGGGAAGACGAACTGGAGTTTCAGTGGAGATGCAGATCCATGCAACCATATTAAACCATGGAATGATACCAATGCGGGCGAAGGATCTGATGGCGTCACTTGTGATTGTTCCTTTACCAGTTCTACTGTCTGCCATATTACCACCATGTAAACCTCTCTCTCTCTCTCTCTC